AACTTAGCTGGAGTTTAGAGAGCTTCCCATAAAATGCCTGCTTGATATTAAGCTGGGAGGGGAGGGAAGAAGGCTCCAGAGGCTGCGCCAGCCCCGCTCAAACCAGGGCCAGCAGGTGCTTTGGCCTGCTAAGCGCCCTGGAAGAAGCGTGTGGGCTTCTAGTGGTGTACATGTACACCACTGCTCCACTGCTCCCTCGAAGGAAGGTTGTATGAAAGACCAACTGATGCAGTCACGGGCCAGCGAAGAGAACATCCTTTTCCTATGCTGAAGCAGCACGATCCCATCCTTCAGCCTCCAACTCGCTCTCAGCTCAGCTCGGGACTGGACTGTGGGGAGACCAAACTCCGGGGCTCAGGGCCCCTCCCGGCTCTCACAGTGGCCACCTTCTGATAGCTCAGCGCCCTTGGCAGACAGGCACACACAGGTGACAGGAGGTGCACAGGTTTTGACTGTCTCTGAGCATGTCCTCCATGCGAGCCAGCCACTGGCCATCTTCTAAAGCAGGAACACTGCTCCTCATTCACAGACGGGTCCAGAACACTGAGCGAGCGAGCGGCAGAGCCTGCACTCTGACCCCATGCTCTGCTCTTCTCTGAGAGAGAAGGTGGTTAGGTCACATAGCAATTCCAAACAAAGTTCAATTGTCAACATAAGGTCCTTACCTGGATTGTAAAGTTTCCGGCACTGCTTGGGCCTAAGTCAGCTCTGCCACATGAAGGTAACAATGACATATCAACACCAACCAGCAGTTACCCGGTCACCCAACCACAAACTCACTGACAGCAACATTGCACAAGTGTAGTAGGAGCCATCCCAGTAGGTTATGACAGAAAACCCCAAGGGAAAAAGTCTTAATGGTTACACATACATACACACGTTTTTGGCAGTCATGTTGCTATCACATGGTTGGAGGCTCGCTGAGCTAGCTAGCTAGCACTTGACCTATTTCAGGTCAGCAACTCCTGCACTGCTGCCTGATGGCAGAGAGGCGGAAGCCTGGGCATACAGCTTGCCTTGGACAGAAGTAGTCACCCTCCCCATAAATGACAGCCTCCTCTCCTAAGGCAGCCAGGTGAG